CTCTGAGCCATCGCTCCAGCCCCATGAGTAGTCAATTTAATACTATGTCCATTTAGCAAAATAATAGTAGTAGGGTCTCCCTTGGGGCTTATGATCCATCTAGTCTCAGGTTCTTGGCTCTGATAACAGGGGTGCCAGGTATGGGTACCATCTCGTAGAGTGGGCCTTAAATTCAAACAGAAAGTGGTTTGTTACTTCTATTACATTCATGCCATTATTATACCAGTAGACATGTCTTGCCAAGTCAGTTGTTACTGAAGCTTGCTGGCTAAAATTAATGATTGCCTTTTTCCTCCTCTGGTAGCATGCATAGCACCTTCCAGCACTATAAAGCTACTCTATATAAATGAAGCTTCCAGGTCAGTACCTGCTTGATTTTTCTGTTCTGTTCCTCAAGTAAGAGGTGTCTTCAGCAACAGGTTCTTATCATCAAGTTTTGTAGGGTAACAAAGAGCACTGGCAATAGCCTGCCAGGTTGGGGGGTGGTCTATGGGACCTCACTGGCCAACATTTCTGAATGAGGTAATACATTTTTGGCATCGGGCTTTTTATTTATTAGCATGTATTGTTTCATAGGGGCATTGTGGCCCTATTATAGGGTAATTCCATTTTAAACTCCTTTTATATAAGGGTATGTATACTTTTAGGAAGCTTCAACAGTAGGTTTCCAAAAGGTCTTTACTGTTGGTTATCCCTCCCTGCATTCTCTCTTCTACATTGTCTTCCACTTAAACCTCCACTCTATTAAACCCTTTCTCTTCAATTAGTCCCCTTTCCCCCTTTATACCCCTGTGTTCTATCTTCCTCCCTTGAAACCCCTACCTATGGTCCCTTACTAATTTGCTGACCTCTATGAGCATTCCACACGAAACACATATCTAAATGTTCAAAGCTAAGATGTACAAATAAGAGAAAACCGCTTGCCTCATCTTGGTTACATTACCTCACTCAGGATAATTTCTTGCCTAAATCCTGCAACCCTTACTGCATCCTAGTGTTCTTTACCTGGTCACCCCCGTCTGCCTGCTCAATTGTCCTATACAAATGTATAACAGAAAGATATGTTAAAAAGTTTTTATTTTCCTTTTCCTATCTTATGGGGCCTGTAACTATCAGTTAGCAGTTTGTGCTCTCTGCAGTTGTTCCTTCCCCTTAACCTATCAAGAAAAGGAACACAAGCCCTGAAACCATGGTTTTCCTGCTTTTTTGGATCAGGCAAAATACCTTATGTAAAAATTTCAGCTCAAAATAATACATCTGAGTCCTTAGGTCCCCTTAATAGCTGCCTTCTAGTGCTTCTGGGGCATGTTTGGAAATGCAACAGTAAATTATACAAAACAACTCGGGAATGAGTTACAATTCTCATTCATGTATAAAGCACAGTAAGTACCTTTCTAAAAATGTTATTATGGATTTCTGACTCCTGTGATATTATTGGATGAACAACTAGAAAGAAATTTTAAATTAAAAGATATTTATATGTGTGATAAGCTAGCCATTACACAATGAAACAGCATTGAATACAGGCAACATAATAAAGTTCAATTATGCAAAACAGGAAGAAAAGGCACATGAAATAAACAAAACAATCTGTACTTTTTCTTGACTCACTTGTTATTTGTCTAGCACTGGTAATTCCTTCCTATGGAGAATTCTCTGATTTATGATTCTACTCTATAGAATGTGAATATGTCCATCAGTCACTTTCCTGATCTTCCATGAAGCTGGGGAGAGGGTATGTGGCCTAAGCTTGGCCAATAACATGCCCCTGTCCTGAGCTTCCAAAAGGAATTAAATGGTGTGTGTGGGGGGTGGCAGAGAGGAACACTCAGGACCCCAAACAAGGAAGATTTGGTCCCCTCTAGCATAAGCAGGGTAGAACTGCAAGCTGCAGTTTCCAGCTTATCAACAAAATCACCAATTGCTGCTGGCTAGCTTCTCTAGTCTGGCTCTTCATATATTTATCATATTTATATCATATAGAGAGAGATGGCTCTATTAAGTGATGATGAGCATGATATATAAGTATTTCCTATAATATTGGTTGCTAAGAGCTCATCTCCTATTAGTCCAACCACGTTGGACCATATTGTAAAATGATTAATAATTTCGTAAGTCAGTCAAAAAATGACCTTTCTGCCTAAATCAAGGGACGCTGGCTTTACTTGTTTAAAACTAAGACTTCTATTAGACACATTTAGTGCTACAAAACTGACCTAATTGTACACAGCTACTACTTTGAGAAACTTATATCACACATATAACTAATTTTTTCCCTGACCAAAAAAGAAAAAGAAAATCACTTCTCTGAATTTCCCAGATATAACTTCAGCTAATTTAAAAAATCTCTCATCAAGCTTCCTATTTCAGGACTAAAAATCACACCTTCTAAGTATGAATAACATGTTTGAAAATACATAATTTCCTCCTCTGGTATTCAAATATATTAAAATGAAGTCTCTATTAAGTGATGATGAGCAAGATAAAAAAACAGATCTTCAAATTTCATTTCACCCTGGGTTCCTGGCTCAAAACAAGGAGTGAATTACCCCAGGCAAAGTTCCCCATGGTGACTGCTCATTACTTTAGTCAAAGTGGTTTTACAGGCACAGCCTATTTGCAAAATTGACTCCTGCCCAAATTTCTCTGGCACACAAATTACCAAACAGTTAACCTCCTATCAGTAGTCTCAGCAGGAGCCAGCACACGATTGAGCACAGAGCCTGTTCTGGGCCTTACAGGCCCAACCACAGCAGCACATGGGCCAAATGCCTCAGAACTGCCAAAGAGATACACCAGTGTCAGATAATAAATACTTGAATTGTAGAGCACCAGGCCTTTGCTTTCCCAGACTTCCACACTGGCAGCAATATAAGGATCTGGATTCATTGAAAATAATGGAGTTCCAAAGCTGCAATTTACTCTATATGTCAGAGATCTAAAGGACTTTGTTTAAAATATTTACTCTCAGCACTAAAGGTGATAGATAATTTTATTGTCACAAAAAATGGCTTTGGGGTTTCTGGTTTTATCAAGTGATAATTTCTTTAAAGACACAGGGTAAGAATATAAATTATAAATCTTTTTCACATACTATAATCTGCTGGAATAGTATATTCTTTAAGCACAAAAAGAAGCAATCCCCATCAAAACAACCCTTTACTGAAGCTTCACAGCCAATGAATCTGGCCATAAAAGGACTCCTGTATCCCGTCATACAGGGGAGGCAGACATACTGGCTCATTTTATGTGAGCCTCTCAGGGCCCATAGGACAGGAACAATTTCCTTTCACTCCCAGCCAGGTTGGAAATGACCCAGGCATTCAGAAACAAACAGGATGTATGTTGATTAAAGAAAAAAATTAGCTAGATAATAAAATCTTTGATTCCACTAGAAACTGGTCCTTTATTTTCTCATAAAAGTGAAATGCTAGAATACAGAATGTAAGTCAAACTTTGGAAATTATGTATTTTATGTGTTAAATGAAAACTGAGTATTTTCTTGATTTTTGATAATGCAGCATAAAATCCAGCAGAAACAATTTATTATCATACAGCTCATTGGACCCATTAAGAACATAATTGAAATGTATTCTTTCCAAGATATACAGAAGACTTTCAGTGACATCAGCTGAGATACACTGGCTCTTTCTTATGTGGTTTGTGGGGAGTTTTGAAAACCTACTAAGACCTCAATGGTTGTCTAAAGGACTCGCAGAGGGCTTGTAAAGTCCAGAGTAAAATGATTTGCCTCACAGCACAGAAAATTCTGTGCTTCATTACTATTTTGCTTAGGGTTTTAGTTTTCTACCATGTAACACACAGAGGAAAGTACCTGCTTTTATTCCATATCTATAGAACACTGGCATTCATGTGTTAATGAAAGACTCAACTACAGAAAAAAGACATGGCTTAAATGATAATGCCATAAATATTTATAGTAAAGTGCATTCAGGTTATTGTCTACCAGATGTTAAATGTGAGACATAAAGAATTCTTTGAAAAGGACAAGTGGAAGAAGCACTGTAATTTATGCTTTGATAATGTCAGGGAAAATTACCAGTTTAATTCAAATCGGATAGCATGGCTTCTCTGACTTCCTGAATCTACTCATAAAGGGAAACCAATGGTCTTGGCAGCTAATTGGAACAAAATAAAAACTTCTATTTCTTGATGGCTGATTACAATGTTTTTATAAATCAAACTTAGTCTTCTTTGATGCACATACTCACGTATAATAAATGTGAGTGTGCTGTGGGGGTGGAAGGAGGCTGATTCAAGTGAACATATGTGTCAGCTGGCATTTTGCAGCCATCACATTCTAGAGGTGAACTTGTCACTAGCCCTGTTCACATGGTGACTGGGCTAGAACATGCAAACTCTGGTTCTCTCTCGAGTCACTTTTCTAATGAAATAGCAGAGAGTAAAATAATAAAAAGTACTAGTTGTAAAGAGATGTGAACTTTATTTTGTTTTGTATTACAGGGTCTCACTAGCTTGCCTAAGCTGGCCTCAAACATGCAATCCTCCTGTCTCAGCATCCCAAGTATCTGGTATTATGGGTGCAAACCACTATGTCTACCTTCAAAGAAATATTTGAGATAGATTCTGGATAAAGTAAATTGTGTTCCTTGTATATGATCAGAAAAGTGTCCTGGTTGCAGTGTGGAATGAACCTGCTATGCAGCTAAGCATATTTTACTGCATTTGGAAAAGCAGATCCTCTCTCACCAAATCCATATTTTAAAGAAAGTGTTAAGCATTACAGGAAACTATTCTTTTGTCATACTTCTTTTATAATTTAATGTTACTTTTAATTACATCTTAAACAGTTTTGATTAAATTTTTTAAAGGACATCAGAATCTGTCAGAATTTTGTACTTCTAAGAACTTACCATAATCTTTCCCCCAAATGTAATATTGAGAAACAAACCATCACCTCAGAGATAGTTTCTTCAGTCTACACTGTCATAGGGAAAAATGACTGAATGTCTCAGTACCTTCTTCTGCCTGCTCTCAGCAGCGGCCAGCTGTGTGCACATCCTTTCTTGTGTTTTTCTGCAGTGGGCCATGACAGCTTCAAGGATGGAGAGCGGGTTGGTACAGACTGGTTTCTCTTTGTCACCAGCACCGGCTTCATAGTCTCTCTGAAGTGCCAGGAAGGGGTCATTTAGATTAAATCTCCCATACCGTTCCTGGATAAATACCTCCTTCCTGCGAGCCTACAATGAAATTAAAGGAATATACTGAAGAATAAGATGAAAATATACAGAAAGAAGTTTATAAACATCCCAAGTATCAAAGAAGTTTTGAGATGTCTTTTCTAAATGGTACTAACAAATGCTATAATGGCTTACAATTTCAGTTGGTGAGCCAAAGGCTAGTGGCACCCCCAATCCTGACAAGCCTGGTAAGCCTATCAGTCTGTTTTCAGATACTCTACCTGCTGCAATTTACAAGCTTCTTTTATTATAGGCTTCCACCCTGATGTAATGCACTGCCAGAGGCCTAAGTTAACAGGTCGATATGACCATGGACTGACACCCCTAAAACTGTAAGCCAAAATAAACTTATCCTCTTTAAAGATAACTTCAGGTATTCTGTCACAGTGATTAAAGGTTGGCTAACACATTTCATTTAAGAATCTATCTTTGGAGCTGGACAGATGGCTCACTGTTAATAGCACTTGCTGTATAAGCACAAGACCCCGAGTTTAATCTCTAGCATTCATATAGTGAGTCAGTCAGGTGTGGTAGCACACATGCCTGTAACCCCAGCACTTGGGGAGAGGAGACCAGATAGATTTCCAGGATTTACTTGCCACCAGTCTTGTCCAAATGCAAGCCCAGGGTTCAGTGAGAGATCATGTCTCAGGGAATAGAGCATAAGGCAGAGAACAAAGCATATAGCAGGACAACCAACATCCCCCTCTGGTCTCTGCATATGTACACTACATACATGCGTGCATACACTACAGCCACACCCACACCCCACACCCACACAGAATATTTTTCTATTACAAATGATATAAATTTGATTTCTCATAATGTTGTATTCAAGAATATGAATTTTAGGTAGTCTTATCCAATCCATGATCATTGCCATTTTTAGGTATATCAAATTATTATACTGTACCCCATAAATTTCAATGATTAAAACAACAAATTCTAAAATAAAGTCATATTAGAATTGTTGATAATTAAAATAACATACCAAAAACTTATCTCCATACAGATAAAATTAATTTCAAATAATAATCTGGTTAAGTAAGTTACAATATCAAATACATTTATTATGATTTTTCTATCCAGAAAGACATTATAAAGAGATTTGATGAAAAAATAATTTGTAAAATTGTTTATATAAGAAAGTATTATGTAGAATTTCTGAACTCTAAAAGTGTTCATAAAGATTTTTTTTTAAATGAAAATATGTCCTCATTTTTGAAGGGCATTAATACATAGCTTATAGAATTCCAGGAAAGACTACAACCGAATTTTATTCCAAATGTCAGCCCATCAATGACAAAATCAATTTCACAATTATGTAATGAACACCAAATGCAATCTCCTATAAATAGCCTATGATGGTCTATATTGAAAACTACTAACTTTTCCCAATTCAGGTGATGTTGAAATAACTACTCAAATATACTCATGTTGGAAAAACTAAATGCAAATAAATCAAGATTACTTTTCTCAAATGACAAATATGCTTTCTTAAGAAACATTACATACAGTTCCTTAAAGTCAGATGCATTAAATTTTTCCATTTTGGGGCAACTGTCAGCAAGTCAGCAACCAGATAAACACAAATGCTATGACATGGGGAAAATCTAGCATGTTTTTTTATATTACCAAATTAGATTAAGAAACAAAACTCTAGTTTCTCCAAACTACCGTTTAGAAGATTATTTTAAATTTTAAAAATCACAAGGTCTATGAGTTAGAAGCATTTGATGTTTCTAGAGTCTTCAATGTATATATTAGGTTTCACTTCAAAAGCAAATCCATCTTCTACTTCACATTTCCCTATAATAGTTTTGAATAAACTTGGATAGTCCCATGGTTTACCTAATTGCTATTATTTAATAAAAGTTCTATAAGGTATTTTATAGGATACAGCAGGCCAACAGCCTATCTGTTGTGGTTTTGACAACCTCCTTTTTTCAAAGTATTCTCCTTGCCTTCTGGATTTGCTCTCTGGGTTGAAGTTATTGGAAGTGGGTGATGCGGGGAGGGCAGGATGGTGGGGATGCTCTACCCGATGGTTTCTTTACCATCTGAACATGCAAAATATATCTAGCTTTCCTCATAAAGCACCCAATAACTGCAGGATCACTTCCTTCTGCACTGCTGGGACCCCTCCACCCTGATTCCTCAATGTATATCATAAAGTTATGATAAGTTACCTAACCTCCACGGCTCATTATGAAATGGACATGTGGAACATTTTGTTCAAAACCATGAAGAATTTCAAGATGGCAACAGCACAACATTTACCCAGGTTTGGGTCTATTCCAAGTACATGGACTACGTGGCCAGGAAGCCAATCTTCTCTGTGCTTCTTATTATGCTGTATTAGAAATCCAGCTTTGTCTGAAGTCCTGTGTTCTCTCTACACTGCCCGAGTAAATAGAACCAGAACCAATTTTGCTCCCACTCTTTCATACTCATTGTCCAACCTGGTCTATGGTAAATTATCATGAGCCTTATCCAAACGAAAAGCCACAGTCCCTACAAGATGACCCATGTAACCACCGCTCCACTTCCACATAAATGCCTGCTTACTCAGGTCCATGTTCATCTGGCCAACCAAGCTGCATGGTCTGCAGTGAGTCATGAAATGTGTGTTTTTGAGTGTGTGAGTATGTGAGTGTGAGTGTGAGAGTGTGTGTGCGTGTGTGTGTGTGTACATGCTTATTGGGGACTGAACCCAGGGCCTTGCACATGCAAGCACTCTCTACTATGCATTATATCCCTAGCCCTTTTTTCTATTTTCATTTTGAGGTAGGTCTCACTAAACTGCCCAAGCTGGCCTTGAAGTCACTCTGTAGCCAAGGCAAGCCTTCAACTTCAATGCTTCTGTCTTTAATCTCCCAAGAAACTGGGATTGCAGACCTGTTCCACCAAGAGCAGCTAAACTATCTTCTTAAAGCCACGTTCTTGTCATCTGATACAAAGGGAAAAGCAACCAAATGAGGCAAGACCCAAAGCACAATTCTCTTCAGTGAAATAGTTCTTTGATAAAAGTCTTACTCTTCAGGAGCTTGGGGTGTTAGCTCAGTGGTACAATGTCAGCCTAGCATGTATAAGGTCTTGGGTTCAATCCTCAGTACCAAAAGCAAACAATGAAAATCCTTCCTTCTTAATATCCAACAACATTATTTTATATTCTCAAAGTGGACAAAATGTTTAAATTCAAAACTGAATTCCAACTATTTCTTCTGAGAACTTGCATTTTGCTATTTACTTTAGTAGTTGATATTTATTATGGATTCTCTGCTCAAATCACATTGAAATTCTTATCACCATTAATTAATTAATTAATTAATTAATTAATTAATTGGGGAATGCACATGTACCACATACATGGAATTCAGAGGACACCTTGCAGGAGTTGGTTTTCTCTTTCTACCACATGAGTTCCAGGGATGGAACTCAAGTAGTCAGGCTTGTATGGCAAGCAAACACCTTTACCCATGGAGCATCTCTCAAGCCTCAAAATTCTATTTCAACAACCCATTCTTATTACCGGATATGTACTCTTCCAATCAACTATTTTTTGTTGTACATTACTTATAATTCTTAATTCCAAGCCATTTCTGAAGATGCAAACTATTCTTAACTCTAAGTGAAATTTAAATGATGAATGGATTAAAATTAATTTTTGCATCATGTAAAATATAAATATATTTACTGAGAACACATTTACAGTTTTGTCCAAAAGATTTTATGCCTCAGAAATATTTAACATCTATTTTTTGCTAATGCAAAATAATTAATTTTTTTGTAATATGTTTTGTTTTAAAATTATTAGCTTTATTCACTATAGCCAAGATATAGAATCAATTTGGGTGTCCATAGACAAAGGAATAAAGGAAAAAATGGGACACAAACACTTGCATACACAAGAATATGTTTCAGTCATAAAAAATGGAATTCTGAATTTGTGGCAAAAGGAATAGAAATGAGGACATTAGGATAAGTAAAACAAGCTAGGCATAGAGAAGTACTCCATGTTCTCACTCATATGTAGAGACTAAAATTTTCTCTCACAGAAGAATAGTGGTCAGTCTAGATTAGGAAATGTGGGGGAAAGCAGCATGCAGGGAGACTGAATAACGAATGCAAATGCAGTTAGGTAGGAGGGACAGCTTGGTGTTCTTTAGCTACCCAGATGGCTGAGTAGTTTGCAATAATTTATTCTACATCTCAAAATTGCTATTAGGAAGGAGTTCATAGGTTCCCAACACAAATGATAAATATTCAAAGAATTGAAAATGCCAATGAATACCCAGATTTGAACATTACACATTGTAGACAAGCATCCAATAATCAAAATGACCCCCCCAAATATGTAAAATAATTATGCATCAAATAAAATAATTAAATTTATTAACTTTAATGGCCCAATTGTAACATTTTGGAATGTACACAAAATCTTTCTTCTGAGATTGCTGCATAATTATATACACAAAATCATAAACACAGAAATGCCAATTATTTTGCCTTGCAAATATGGACATACATTTAACCGTTACAAGGAAGTCTCACACATTAGATTCTTTCAGGGGCAGAGACAACAGCAGCTGTATTTGTTGTCTGATAGTTATATGGCTATATTCCTGACATCTATTGCTTTTAAAATGAGAGAAATGAAACCAGCTTGTTTGCTCTTCTAAGATACCTTTCATTTACCTGAAAAATCTGATCTAATTTTTCCCATTGCCCAAATCATACACACCTCAGGTTTCTATGGACAAATATCACAAAGCACACGCACTAATCAACATTAAACTAACCTCTCAACTCATGCTGGTTGTTTTCAGAAAAAAAATTTCATTTTATGAACATACAAAAGTATACTGATATGTCACATATACTCATCATTTTTGATATACCTGTCTTATCATTGTAAGCAGGGTTTCTGGAAGTGGGTAATTCTATTATTTAAAATGTACTTTTAACTTTACAGCTTTCTACCAGGCTAATTAATACTG